CTGTGCTTTCCCACAGTAGCTCACTCTTGTATGTTCTGTGTTACCCTTCTCTGTACTGTTCCACGCTCTGTTACTCTGCTTTCCCACATTATCCCACTTCTGTATGTTCTACCGCCCTTCTCTGTTCTGTTCCACATACTTCTACAGTGGTTTCCAGCATTACCAAACTCATGTATACTCTATGTTACCCTTCTCTGTGCTTTCCCACATAATCCCTTTCTCGTATTTTCTATATTACCCTGCTCTGTACTGTTCCACGCTCTCTTACACTATGCTTTCCCTCATTATTCCACTCTTGTATGTTCTACTGCCCTTCTCTGTACTGTTTCACACTTCCTTACTCTGTGCTTTCCCTCATTATCCCACTCTTGTATGTTCTATGTTACCCTGCTTTGAATATTCCACAATTTCCTACATTACCAAACACTAGACTCTGTCAGGGTGTACGTATTGGCACTTTCTTTTGTATCTGCATTCTGTACCTATTCTTTCCACTATCTGCTATCCAGTTTGTGCCTGTGAAGTACTCTTCAGTTTCGGAAAGATAAATATAACTTCGCAGCTTGTAGTAGTCGTGTTCAGCATTAATGGACTAGCACATGGTTTTACATGACCTATAATTCCTGAGTATTTGACACAACAACTTTGTAAATATGAGTCATAGCTGACGTAATATATTTTTCAAGTAAGTGTACCTTGAATCCAAACACCTTTACTAAATACATTATCAGTTATGTTTTCTAACTGTAAACTGCAATCGACAAAACAACATGCTATATTTCACAGCCCTTGCTTTATTTAGAATTGATACTGGAATTATTTTTCGACAGAATATTTTCATGACACAAATTTAGAAACAGACTCCCAAAAACATTCATTAAAGTGTATGTAAAATCATGATAGCAGTATATAGATCAAAGATAAGTATACATCTGCAACACAGACCAAGCTTGAAGAGAGCAGTTAAGGTTGAACTATAAATTGCTACAATACGTTGTTTGAAGCTACATTAATGAGGTGTTTATTTGTCTGATAATTAGCAGCAGATATAAGACAACACACGAGCAACAGGATTTAAGTCCAGTATACGAGCCTGCAGGCTGCCTGTCATACTGATGTTTCGAAACAAGAGTCAGAATTGGTTTTTTTTATCTGAGTAAGTGCGAGGGTAATAATGAATTCTCACATATGGATCGTACAATTAGCATGACGCAAATCTGACCGTAAGGAATTCTTCTTTACTAGGTATTTCCAAAACCCTTTTGAGCTCCCTGGTAAGAAAAGCACTCGCTGATCACGGCCGTAATCTTAGAACCTCGTCCCCCCCAAAAAAACCCAACAAAACAACAAACAAACAAAAAACCAAACAACAACAAAACAAACAAACAAACAAACAAAAAGCAAAAAATAAAAAAACACCAAAAAACACGATGTCAGTAATCATGTAGTTTCTACTTTGATGTCACTCATATCTAAAGTCATAATAAGATTTGAATGATGACTCAAAGACGCTGTCAGAATCAAGTAAACACACACGGGTGTGAGTGAAGTGGTATTTTTACTGGTACACCACATACAATGTTGATGACCTCGGTTTCTTTGAACCCTATGTGTCACACTGGCAATATTGTTGCAACATAGTGACAACATACGATATGCCCACTGAGACCCAACTCGGCTTCCTCTCACAAAAGATCAGAAATACTTTGTTACTTTCAACCTTAGAATCAATACCTCTATGGGAAGTAGAACAAATGTGGAACATATTTGGTAAGTGAGTAATCAGTACCTGGATCTTTCTCTGAACCAACAGACATACTTGTTTAGCCTCATATGTTCCGAGGGGCGGTGGGGTAGCCTAGTGGTTAAAGCGTTCTCGTCACGCTGAGGACCCGGGTTCGAGTCCCCACATGGATACAATGTGTGAAGCCCATTTCTGATGTCCCCCCGCCGTGATATTGTTGGAATATTGCTAAAAGCGGCGTAAAACTAAACTCACTCGCTCATATGTCCCGAGTACAGCAATACAAATAAGGAACGTTGAACGAAGCAGTAACAAGAAGATGAGTCCTAGACTAGTCTCTCTGTTCATCAAATAGCATCTCCTAAAATGCCAATCAAACATCTAAGGAACATATGGTTATCACACCAATGCCCGAACATGGGTGAGCGATAAAAGGTGATTTTACAGCCGCACCAACTGCGCCATGAAAGGCAATCCCGTACAGACCAAAGCCCACAATGACACACACCCACACTGACCAGGCCAAAACTTGTTCATATTTAAACGATATTCACACCAAGCAGATATGCTGACTAACACATTCATAGGGCAATCATTAGTGACACCAAGGATGACGCGGTGTCATTTTGATGACCACAGACATTCAGCTAATATATACTCATTCAAAGAAATATGAGAACACTCATTTACTTTTTGCTAAGTTAAGAACGCCAATTGAAATCGAAGCTCAACTAATGTTATACGATACTTTAGCTTTGATTCCATGAATATGACAGTTTTTTTTAGAACATTATGAGATGTATAGCACAACAAAATTCAGCCGAATAACGAAGGGTCAGTGTGAAAAGTCACAGGGTCAATTGCTAGATAAGTAGTGCGTGTGTCCACCTCTGTTTCTGGCACACTCTGCACATCTAGCCCTCATCGACCTCACTAATGTCCTCAGTGATGACTGTGGTATTGCTTGCCACTCCTGGCCCAGAATCCTGAACAGTTGGTCAGCGTTCACTGGCGGAGGATGATTCCGACATGACATCTAATCACATGTACCCCTATTGAAACGGTAGAAATGGATAAGCTTGAGTACAGAGCAGTCATACAGTTTTTGGTCCACGAATACTACATGGGTGGGAATGCTTTGCCTGATATAGATGCTCTTGTGTTTTCCAGAAGCTTTCTGTCATATATATTGAGAACGTGTTATGTCAAACTATGAAAACTGTGAAACATCGTTTTCAGAAATATGAGATCCGAAATAGTGTATTTGAGGACAACTTCATCTTGTTCCCAAAACACAATGAAATAAAAGCTTATGGGACTGATCGATTATGGTTTTACATTGCTCAAAATATTCATCTTCAGGCACGCTCGCTTATAGTCGAAACATATTGCACTCCCAAACACGGTTACATATTGCGACATGGTATCCCCATAGTGTCATGTTATTACATTAGGGAAAGATGAGGTGAAATTGGGTTTAACGTCGTGCTTGAGAATATTTCGCTCATATGACGACGTGCATGCGTGTGTATGTGTATGTGCGGCTGCTTGTACTAGCCCAGACTGAAGCTGGTTTTATAGTGCTAGCTCACTGAGATACCATGCCGCAGTGAAGCATGAATACCCCACTCAGACACAGTATACTGACTCCGAGCCGACCAGTCCGCGTTGTACCCATTAATGTCGAGCGCCAGGCAGGGACCAACAAGTCCCATATTTTAACGTCTTTTGGTATGACGCGGTCGGGGATCGAACCCGCGACCTTCCGCTCTCAGGGCGGACGCTCTAACCACTACACCACGGGGGCGGTCCATTAGGGAAAAAAACACCGGAAATGAGAACTGAGCATGTTTTTATTCTACAGCAAACAGTATCCTGGCTCTATCAGACGTAACTTGATACACAAATGTAAACCAAAGAAATCATTGCACTGTTCTCGATTTAAACTTCAATTTCTTTTCTTCCCATACTCTCTAATACAGTCCAAGACCGTCACTTGTCCCAATCATGGTTCAGTTGAAGTTCTTGATAGGCATTCCGAAGTTGGACGAGCATGAATACATGACACGTTCTTATGAAATTGGTATCCTTAAAAAATGTGTCATGTATTCAACCTTGTTCTTCTTATATGTTCCCATGTCTCCCAACATATACCTCAGTCCCCCCCAATTTGATTTCCCTTACCCTCTCTTACTCCTATATCCCCGTGCCCGCACCTTCAGCTACCTACGTTTTGGAACGTGCCAAACATTCCGTTATACTTCCACCCTGCTTTCTTATTCCCACTCTTCATGATCTATTACGAATTTCTTTTCACCCTCCTGCTCCCATACCCGCCACCCTCATCTCCACAGAGCCACTTCCCCACGCCGACGTCCACCCATAGCCTCTGTCGTACAGATATTCTTCACTGTCTCACATGTACCCTCGTCCCCTTACGTCCACAATATCACTCTACTCCATTTCTCCTTTAGTGCTCCTGCGTCCCCAAGTTTCTCAGACGCCCCTGAATACATCCCACCACTTAACTTCTCTTCCCTTCTCCCAATCCTATGCCAGCCATTTCACCACCTGTCCGCACTTTAACCTTCCCTTGTCCACGCCTGCTCCCATGTTCAGACCATGGAACAGAACAATATTATTCTTTTGCAAGAATATTTAAAGTTAAAAGATATCACGTTTCCCCGCTTCACCAAACACATCACAAAGACAGTCTCCAAACACGTCGCTTTCTTTACTGTAATCAATTTCACGATCCCTGATTTCTATCTCTCAATATATACTTACTTGGGGACCCGTGAAGGTCCGGGTTAGAATGAGCCTTCAGTAACCCATGCTTGTCGTTAGAGGCGACTAACGGGATCGGGTGGTCAGGCTCGCTGGCTTGGTTGACACATGTCATCGGTTCCCAATTGCGCAGATCGATGCTCATGCTGTTGATCACTGGATTGTCTGGTCCATACTCGATTATTTGGAGACCGCCGCCATATAGCTGGAATATTGCTGAGTGTGGCGTAAAACTAAACTCACTCACTCACTTGCTTGGTGGTTCAATCAAGCGCACATAAATTCCCCATTCAAGAAAGGTAACTCTTGTTTCATATCAAACTAGAGTAGCTTCCCTTCGAATGGCCTTCGCATTGCCTCGACCGTCCCATTACATGTTTAATCTAGATGACCTACCAAGTGTTGATGTAGATCTATCTATATTTGAAATGTAAAAGTGACGTGCTGAACAATGCTTAATGTCGACGCATGCGTAGATTGGCTGGAGTTGCGGTGTCATGACAACAGTAGCTCTTCCTCTGTCAGCCATTTTGACAGCTATCAGTGGAAATATTCACAGTGTTCTTTTCGTGCTAAATACAACTCGAAAAGTTTGCGCTAACTAAAGAGATGGAGAAAACTATGAATCCTACGGCGGCAGGTACAGGAAGTTTTATTTTTTACCAGTGATAAAGCTGCATGTAATCTGTTTACAATGCAAACCACGAAATGCTGATACACCAATTTATTCTCAGCGTCTCAATGTACGGCACATATCAAAAGACTGGTAAAAGCTCCGCCCATAACCCCGCTTGAAATGTATTCCATTTATTATGACTATTTCGAGGGGATGAGATTTAGGGTTAGGTTAAGGCCTTTCATAAAATCCATTCAATTTTAGGTATAGAATGATAAAAGAAACGGGTGTAACTTACGGGCGGAAATCTTTTCAAAAGACTTGTATGTACAGGCCGGTGCCAGGTATATTCGGACACTTGACGTAATTTCCATGGACTAACATGCTAATTTAGTGTAGCTTAAATAATTTTCATGAATTTGATTTTCGTAAGATCCAAGTTTGGCACATTTGTGAGGAATCATCTTACCTACAGAAACATAATTTCTGTCTAATTTTCCGTTGCTTATTTATCGAATGGAAACAATTTTATCGCCATATAGGTACAGTGCTGTGAACTCCTTTAGCATGGCGGGCCATGGGATTGTGCATTGTGGAACCATGCGTAATTAGTTGATAAATGTAATGTCATTAGTTTAATAGTTGTCGGAAAATTGAACTGAAATTATGTGCCCAGAGCAGAGATGATTTCACATTTGCCTGTCAAATTTTACAAAGATCCATCCTAAATTCACTTCATGAAAATTATGTATGCTACGCTGAAATAACATGTAACTCTATGGAAATTACCTCAAGTGTCCGAATATAACTGGCACAGTCTGTAGGTGTGTTGGAATAAAAAGTAATCATGACGCAACTTAATTATTGACTTAGTTCATGCAGAGACACTGGACATGGTTTTAAAAGACCTTGAGTTAATTTATGGGTTTACACTTAAATATTGGTCTTCATGATTTTGTTTTGAACCAGTTAAAGGAAACTATTCTTAATTACAGTACCGGTGACTCGCTTGCCACCTGGGCTACCAACAGTGGTGATGGGAGATGGGACCAGATGTCTGGTAGATAACAACACTATCTGGATACCAGCTGGTAATCATGTTAACCTCCAACCCGGTTACGCACAACCAAAACTCCTGCAGCCAGCTGTGACTGTCCCCCAGCCACCACCTTGCAGTAAACCTAGGGTGATGATGCCTGTCTGCCAGCTACCTGTCAGCCTGCCCAGTTCAGAGCTAGACCTACATCTGATGAGACCAAAGGTATTTTTTTTATTTTAATGGTTTGAAATTGTAACAAAGACAAAATAAACATCAGTTTATCATCAATATCAGGATGATGCAAATCCAGTCCTTCATCCCAAGTTTTTCATGTTTTAGACCCCATGTAAAGACTTATGCCATACAACCTAGTGTAGAAAAGTAGACTCCTGCAATGTTAATGACACTGCACGATAGGCAGTACAATTATAATGGCAGTCTAAAATACATCAGCATTGATATCAGCAATATAGTCAACGATAATATTCACCTTGCAACAGATTTAACATTGGATATATTCTTACATTTACTCTCCTATAATGAAATATGAAAGTGATACAGTGACTGTATGACCCATTAGGCCTTCTCCTGTGTTCTGCCCCCACTTGACCTGCCCAGTCCAGGTCCTCATCCCCAGTCTATCCATGTTGCAACCCCTGCCATACCTACAACAAGCAGCCCCAAACCAAATGTCCAACAAAAGCTCAAGCCTGAGCTCAAGCCCTGCAAACACAAGCCCCACACTTTCAGACCAAAACAGCCAAAGCCTCACATTCCTAAAGAGAAAGTTAGCAAGCCTCGCCCAGAGAGCAAGCCCTACTTTGTGCCTCAGCCTCTTGGAGCTAAGCACATCAAGCCCCAGAGCAAGACTCTTGGCAACCGCATCACTAAATCTGAGGGTGGTATTAGTATCATTGAGCATGTTAAGTCCTCATCTAAGCTTAGTTTTGCTGAACAGCTGAAATCTGCTGATCGTGCTTACTTAAAACCGAAGTCTGTCTTGCCCAGTACAGGTTGCAAGACTTTGCCTGTACCTGTTAAGAAAGTAAAGGATAAGGTTGTTTCAGAAACAGAGAGTGCTAAGTCAGGTGACATCAGTGCTGCAACAGTAAGTGTCAATGCAGCCAAAGCAGTGGACAAAGCTGAACCTAACTCTGATGATGAATATGATGTGGAATATCTGTATCTTACTAAACTCATTTTAAGAAAAAAGAGGAAACCCACTGCTGAACCCAGCACAGAGCCCCTGCCCTCACGCAAGAGGAAGTGCCCAGATGACAACAGCGAGGTGCCCCAAGCTGTGAAGCAGGCAAGACTGGAGGAGCCCCAGGACACCCTGGAGGACTTGGAAGCTCTCCTGGCTGAGTACAGCACCAGTCTGTCATCTGGCACCAGGGACTTCTTCTAAACACAATAAGGTGCAGGGGACAGGTAAGTATAGATAGGTGTATAGAGTTAGGTGGTTGTTTATATATGAACTCCAACTCCAAGATGTCTTATTGTATTGAGGCTTGACAATGTGGCTTTGAGTGATATTTCTGATTGGGCTGACATGTGTTGAATCAATCACATTTTTTGTGATGAAAATGCGGGAATATACCAGGAGTTACCTTGTTATTGGGCTGACATGTGTTGAATCAATCACATTTTTTGTGATGAAAATGCGGGAATATATCATGAGTTAACTTGTTACTTGTTTTTGGGGTATACCCAGATCTTTTTCTAATAAAATTTCACTTTGCAGTTTAAGTTGTGGTCATGTTTTTATTTATCAACTGAAGTTGAATTATGTGGTCATTTAGATGAAAACATTTTCTAGCTGATGTCATTGTATGATTGTTTGAATCAGTGACAGCACAGTTGTAAGCGGTGATGAACTATTCACATATATATTCCAAGAATAGAACGTAGCATGAACAGAGCTTGACCAAGTGTGCTCATGAGTCATGGACCCAGAGCTTAATATTCCATTTATTTGTCACTCCTTATAAGAACAAAGCGACACACATTAATTTCACCATGAGATATAAGCATCAGTGTTAATTTCACACAAATATGTTTGTACATCATTCTTAACTGACAATGACTTTAGGAGTGATATTATCAAACATAAATTTCACTAAGATTATTTGTCAGATACTTATCACCAAGTATTGAGAGAACTTATGAATAGCTGTGTTTATTGCTGTATGTGAGAGTGAGTTAAACCATTACATCTCACTGGCAGTATGTTGCAATATAGTGACAAGAGAGAACATATGAACCATACCTTGAGACAGAACTCTTGTTTCTCACACAAAAGATGAGAGATGTTTTTGCTTGTCAAGGTGAGAATTGATACCTCTGATGGGAGTGAAATACATATAGAGCATATTTGGTAAGGTGTGAGTGAGTACCTGGATCATTCTCCTTCCCAATGGACAGATACAGTGGTATAGTACTTGTATAGCCTCAGATGATTCTCTGATTGTACCAAAACAGACATGTATGGGTTGCCAAACCAATGGGTGAGTGAATTAGGTAATCAGTAATTTACAGCTGTATAACACAGCTGTACACACAACACAACACAACAGGTAATAGCTTGATGCTCAGTTTTTCATATGCAGCAGCTGCTATGACGAGCATATTCTTAAACACTGATAATAAGTTGATATTTACAGTCACTAAAAATAGCATTTGTTCACAACTAGCATCCATTATCACCAACACATTATTAAGAAAACTCCAGGTGAAAGGTAAAGATTTTCTGACCTGGACACAAAAACGGGTCACTTTGATGAATCACACTTTGATGTAAAATGCATGTCACACTGACACAGCTGCTCTTCCATCAAGTAATCTTCATACCCAGCCAAATCCATGTGAGGTAAGAAGTGAGTGAATACCTTCAAGATTCTCCAAACCAACAGGCAGAGTGGTATTGTACTTTTATAGCTCAGGTGAACATCTGAGTGTGGTATCACAAACATGCAACATACATTGTTTAGCCAATCGGTGGGTGGGGGAATGAGGTAATGAGTAATTTTACAAGTTATCATGAAGGAGCTGTACTGTATTGCAGCATTGACTGACAAACCTTGATCACACAAATCAAACCAGGTGATCCTCCCTTAAGTTATACTCGTACTAAGCAGTTACTGTGGCTAACAAACCTTTAAGACAAGAATCGGTGACTGGTCAGTCCTTACTGACGTGGACCCAAGAGGTGAGTCACTGATGAACGCTGGTGATATGTTGATATTACATAATTAACATACAAGTTAGAGCTGGTTCGCCATAAACACAAATGATAGATGACTGGTAAGCCTTTCCGACTTGGACACAATAACCCTCCATCAAGTACTATTTATACAACACAACCATTGTAATAAACAGGTACGTAAGACTTACAATAGGTTACTGGTGAAGTTGTCTGATCTGGACACATACCGAGGATGCATTGATCTATTGTTCCATCCGAGCAATACATGGCAAGGTGACAACTTTGCCTGATAAAATTTACTTGTGGCAATGTCAAAGTTTAATTTCAGCTTGTTAAGTGTGATGCAAATTTGAAATTATGAACGTTTGTTGCCAAACTTTATGAACTTATGTAACAGAGTGATCTTTCCCCCATTTCTTCATCCTAGCCATATCAAAGCAATGTACTCCATTGACTGTGCAACATTAGCTATAGAATGAATTTGATATTATTAGTGTTATGACTAGGTCTGTGATCGATTACAATGTGCTGGACAGACGTTTTTTTCCTGTTAACCTGAGGGAGGTGGGGTAGCCGAAGACCCGAGTTCGATTCCCCACATGGGCACAGTGTGTGAAGCCCATTTTCTGGTGTCCCCAACCGTGTTATTGCTGGAATATTGCTTAAAACGGTGGAAAACTAAAAAAATTAACTCACTCACTGACTCATGTTAATCTGACCTCAATAGATAAATTGGGAATAAAAATAATTACTGCACTACTTTTCATAAAGGATAATGCTGAAACATCTAATTATTTCCTCTTCCATCTCTTTCTTATAACCATGGCCCCATTTCCTCACGCACACACCTGCAACCATATTGTCTAAAGTTCCCGTCCCCTCTTGTCATTAGTAACAAATCACCACACTTCCCTTCTCAATCTACCCTCACATCTGACATTCGACAATAACTACTTTCTCCTGCTCCCATTTGCCATTTTCTGCAACACCGTTTGCCCCTACTTCCAATCTACCAATGCACTTCCCAAATCATCTACTATTCACATGTCCTCATTTCTCAACATTTCCCTTATATCTTTCTGCCTACCACTATTCCTCCTGTCCCCTCACCTCCTCATGTGTCCTGGATATCCCTACCACTATTCCTCCCGTCCCCTTTTACTGCTCCCATGTCCCGGATACAAAACCACTATTCCCCATTCCCCTCTCCTGCTCCTGTGTCCCCGATATCCCTCCCACTATTCCTCCCGTCCCCTCTTCTGCTCATATGTGCCCGATATCCCTCCCACTATTCCTCCTGTCCCCTCTCCTACTTCTGTGTCCCGGATTTTCCTACCATTATTCCTCCCGCCCCCTTTCCTGCTCCTATGTCCCATTTATCCAATCCACTATTCCCCTGTCATGCTCCTGTGTGCTGGATTTCTCCACCACTTTTCCCCCCGTCCCCTCTTCTGCTCCTATGTCCCTAATTTCTCTGGAACTATTCTTCCCGTCGTCTCTCCTGCTCCTGTGTCCTGGATATCCCTACCATTATTTGTTCCGTCTCATCACCTCTTGTGTCCTGTATATCCCTACCACTATTCCTGCCGTCCCCTCTCCTACTCCTGTGTCCCGGATTTTACCACCACAATTCCTCCCGTCACCTCTCCTATTCCTATGTCAAGGCTTTCCCCTCCCTACCACTATTCCTCCTGTCCTGTCTCCTGCTACTATGTCCCGGGTATCCCAACCACTTCCCCCCGTCCCCTCTCCTTCTCTTTTGTCCCGTATACCCCTCCACTATTCCCTCTGTCCTCTCTCCTGCTCCTGTGTCCCGGATTTCCCAACCACTTCCTCCCGTCCTCTCTTCGGCTCCTATGTCCTGGATTTACCTACCACTTTCTCCTGCACCCAGTTCTGCTTCTATGTGCCGGATCTAACTACCACTAGCTTTCCATTCCCCTCTCCTGCTCTTGTGTCCCCGATCTCCTTACCACTATTTCTCCCCATCCCCTATGTTCCTGAATTTCCCCGGGCCACCACTATTCCCCCGTTCCCTCTCCTGCTCCTGTGTCACCGATGCCCCCACCACTATTCCCCCGTTCCCTCTCCCGCTCCTGTGTCACCGATGCCCCCACCACTATTCCTCCCATCCCCTCTCCAGCTCCTGTGTCCTGGATTTCTCTGCCATTATTCCCCCCCCCGTTCCTTCACCTGCTGATCTGTCCTGGATATCCCTACGACAATTCCTCCTATCCCTTCCTGCTATGTCCCTGATTCCTCTCCCGGTATACCTCCAGTCCCCTCTTCTGCTCCCGTGTCCTGGACTTACCAACCACTATTCCTCCCTTCCCCTCTCCTGCTCCAGTGTCCCCGATATCCCTACCACTATTCCTCCTGTCCCCTAACCTTCTCCTGTGCCCCGTATATCCCACCCACTATTCCCTCCGTCGCCTCTAATGCTCCTGTGTCCTGGATTTCCCTTCCATTATTACCCCCGTCCCTTCTTCTGCTCCCATGTCCCGGATTTCCCTTCCATTATTACCCCTTCTGCTCCTGTGCCAGGTATCTCCCTCCCACTATTCCATCCGTCCCCCTCTCCTACTCCTGTGTCCCGGATTTCCCAACCACTATTGTGTTTATTGACTGGTTGTTCTTTACTTTGGATGAAGTTTTCATCATTTGATCTTTCTTGTATATATTACTGGTTTCTTATTGACTTTCTACTTACGTCGTTTCACGTTGTTGTTTTGCTTATATATGTTGGCTGTTGCTTGTTTGGTTGTTTTGCATATTTGTTCCATCGTCTGTTTAATTTATTTGTTGGTTGATTTGTATACTAACTGAGTGTTTGCTATATTTTGCTGTTTTAAGTTTATTGGCTCCGTGCTCCGTTGGTTGGCTAGATGTTTTATCAAATTGTTTCATTGGCAGTTTTCTTGATTCTTTTTGTGGTATATGTTTCACTGATTTGTCTTTATTTTGCTTGTTTGCTTTGTTTTGTTGTATTTTCTTCTTCCTTTTTATTTTGTTGGTTGGTTAGATTCTTTTTTTCTATTGGTTACTTTCTTGTTTTGTTGCTCAAAGTTTTTTTATAACTCTGCCTGTTGCTGGATGGACCTTTCCCTTCAGCCTTCTCACTTCCCCCAAATCGTCCCTCTTCGTTCCAGTCTCCCTGCTTGCCCTACCACTGTTCTCTACTGTTCCTTCATCCTGTCTACTTCTTCCCTCTCTGTTCTACTACCAACATTGTCCCATTCCACCCTTCTTACTTTTCCTTCCATTTTCCCCTACTCTCTTTACATCATCCCTACTTGGTTTCTACTTAATTACTCTTGTGTTTCTGGTTGTTTTGTTTGTTAGCTTTACTTGTAATCTTTGTTTGCGTTTCTGGTTGTTCTATATTTGTTGTTTTGTTAATTGTTCTGTTGTGCTTCTGGTTTTAGTTTCTTTTCCTGGTTGTTTGCTTGGTTTAATGGATACATACATCTTGTAAACTGCATTCTTGGTTGCTTGTTCTTTTGGTGTTGCTGCTTGATTCATCGATCGGTTTTTTTATAGGTTGTTTTGTTTTGGTTGTTTACATTTGGATTGTTGTGTTATTTGTTTGGTTATTTTGTAATTATTGCTTATTGCTATTTGTTTTCTTCTTTCATTTTTGTGTTTTTGGGGAATGGTTTCATTGTTTTAAAAGGTTGATCTTTATGTTGCTGTTTTTTCATTTGGTTGTTAGCTGTTGTTTTTTCCTTCGATGTTCTAACTTCCCTGTTTGCAGTTTTCTAGTTTTTATCTTGTTTTATTTTTGTTGGTGGTTGATTGAATTGTTTTCAGGGTGTTTTTTGGGGTTTTATTTGATATTTAGTTGTGGTTGCTGGTTGTGTCTCTTGATTATTGATTTTTCTTTTTAGTTTCATTTGTCTTATTCATTATGTTTTCCATTTTTGAAAGTTTCGGGTTGAATAGGTTTATTTAGCTTGTTTTTGTTGCAGTTCTGTACTGAGTTTGTTGTTTGGTGGTGTTTCATTGTTCTTGTTTTCTCTTTGCGTATTCATTGGTAGCTTCATTGTTTGCTTGACCCATCTTTAGATGGTTTCTTTTGATCTGTTGTTAGGTTTGTCTTGTTGTCGTTGGTTTATCTTTAGATTGTTACTTTTCTTTTGCTTTGTTCTCATGCTGTCTGTGTGCTTAGTCAGGTTAATTTTGAATTGTTTTGTTAATTGTTTTCTTGTTTCTTTCTTTGATTGGTGGCTTATGTATTCGTTTGTTTACCTGGAGTTCTGTTGTACTTTTTGGTTTGTATGTGTGCAATTGTCGCGTTGGTTGTGTTTTGATTGTGATTAGTGTCTTATGTTTAGTTCCTGCTTTGATTCTTGAGGCTGCTTGTTTCTTAGTATTGTTGTTTTCGTTTATGTTTGTTAGTTTTGTTATCTCTCCCACTTCTCCTCCCGCCCCTTCTGTTCCCATGTCCTGGAATTCTCTGCTACTATATTTTTGCCGTACCCTCTCCTGCTCCTGTGTCCCGGATATCCATACCACCATCCCTCCCCTGCTCTTTTGTCCAGGATATCCCTACCACTATTTCTCCCATCCCCTCCCCTGCTCCTGTGTCCCTTCTACTTCCTCCCATCCCCTCTCCTGTTCCTGTGTCCCGGATATCCCTACCGCTATTCTTCCCATCCCCTCTCCTGCTCCTGTGTCCCGGATATCCCTACCACTATTCCTCCCATTCCCTCCCCTGCTCTTATGTCCAGGATATCCCTACCACCATTCCTCCCACCCTCCCCCTGCTCCTTTATGTCCAGGATATCCCTACCACTATTCCTCCCATCTCCCTCCTCCCAGTTCCCGGATATCCCTACCACTATTCCTCCCATCCCCTCCCCTGCTCCTATGTCCGGATACATATCCCTACCACCGTTCGCCCCATCCCTCCTCCTGCCTTTGTCCCCGGATATCCCTACCACTATTCCTCCCACCTTTTCTGTCCCACACCCTTTTCTGCTCCTATGTCCCGGATATCCCTCACCTCTATTCCTCCCATCCCTCCCCTGTTCCTGTGTCCCGGATATCCCTACCACTATTCCTCCCATCCCTCCCCTGTTCCGATCCCTCCCTGTTCTGTCCCCGGATATCCCCCAATCCCGGATATCCCCACCACAACCTGCCCATGTCCCCATCACCTTATTCCTCCCGGATCCCTCCTGTCTCCCTGTGTCCCTACCTGTTCCTCCCGACATCCTCCTCTCCTGTCTTCTGTGTCCCGGATATCCCTACCACTATTCCTCCCATCCCCACGACCCTCCCCTGCTCCTCACCACCATGTCCCTACTACTGCCCCTCCGGATATCCCCACCACCTGTCCCATCCCTCTCCTGCCTCCTGATCCCTACCACTATCCTCCCTCTCCTGTCCTCTGTCCCCACCGCCACCGATCCTTCCCCCAGGATATCCCTACCACTCCATATTCCTCCCACCCCTTCCACTATCCTCCCATCCCCTGTTCCCGTCCCTCCCGTTATTCTGTCTCCCTGTCCAGTTCGATATCCCTACCACCGCATCCCCTGTTTATTCCTCCCATCCCCTGTTCCTGCTCCTTCCCCTGTCCCTGATATCCCTCCCGTTCTATGTCCCCATCCCCACCACCACCCCGACCTCCCCTGCCCTTCCCTACCGCCATTCCTCCCATCCCTCCCCTGCTTCTGTGTCCCCAGGATATCCCTACCACCATTCCTCCCATCCTGTGTCCCTACGTCCTCCCCCCGCTCCCTTGCTGTGTCCCGGATATCCCCCACCACTCCATTCCCACCCCATCCCTCCTCCCTGTCCCTGATATCCCCACCACTATTCCTCCCATCCCTCTCCTGCTCCTGTGTCCCGGATATCCCTACCCACTATTCCTCCCATCCCTCCCCTGCTCCTGTGTCCCCATACCTCTACTGTCCTGTGTCCCGGATATCCCTCCCCTCCTCCTGTCTCCCCGGATATCCCTACCACTATTCCTCCGATTCCTTTCCCCTGGTCTTGGTGTCCCGGATATCCCTACCACTCATTCCTCCCATCCCTCTCCTGCCTCGCATGTCCAGAATATCCCCACTCACCATTCCTCCCATCCCTTCCCGTTCTATGTCCAGGGATATCCCTACCATATTGTCCCATCCCTCGACTGCTCCTGTTCGTCCCCGATATCCCTACCACCATTCCTCCCATCCCTCTCCCCGTTCCTGTGACCCTGATATCCCTACACCGCCATTCCTCCCATCCCTCTCCTGCTCCTGTGTCCAGGATATCCCTACCCACTCTTCCTCCCATCCCTCCATGTTCTGTGTCCAGGATATCCATACCGAATTCAATCCACTCAATTCCCCGACCTTAACCTCACCTGCTCTTCGCTGTCCAGGACAATTCTTCCACGGTTATTCCTCCCATCCCTCCCCCTGTTCCTCTGTGTCCCTTACATCCTACCGGATCCTCCCTGTACGTGTCCTGATATCCCAATTAATTATTCTTCCCATCCCTCCCCTCGCCATGTGTCCCGGATATCCTTTACCACTATTCCTCCCATCCCTCCCCTGCTCTTTATGTCCAGGATATCCCTACTCGCTATTCCTCCCATCCCCTTCCCCTGTGCCCCGTGCCCTGATGTCCTTTACCACCTGTTCTCCTTATCCTCTCCTCATGTCCGATAACACTAATTTATTCCTCTCTTCCCTCTGCCTGTTATGTGGTCAGGATATCCCTACCATTATTCTCCGGTCCACGATACCTTTATCGACTTCGATCCTTCCGAGTTCGAGGAAACTTTATGATCCCACGACCTGATCCTTCCGGAAACCGACTACTTCTTCCCGAGTCGAGGAAACGATATCCTTTATTTATATTTTCCGACCCTGTTCTTCCGGAAACGATGATCCTTTATTTACTGAAATTCGGATCCTTTCTTTATTTCGGATGATTCTTATCCCATTTGCGACTCTCCTGTTCGGAAACGGAACCTGATTTTGACGACGACCGATCCTTCGTGTATCCGGATGATCTCAATTGTTCGATCCTTTCGAAATTCGAAACCGATTCGACGATCTTTATCCTTTGTTTGAATCAGGATGATGTCCTTCCCCGATCCTTTCCTTGTCTCCGAACCTGATGATCCTTAATTTTACTTTGTCCTTGTCGAAACCTGATATCCGGACGACGACCCGATCCTTTGATGATCCTGACTTCATGACGCCCTGATCCTTCCTTTGTTCGCCGGAAACCGAGATCCTGACGACGATCTGATCCTTTGTTCGACGTTTATCCTCGATCCTTCTGAAACCTGATATCCTGACGACGAGCGCCGGAGAAACGATGATCCTTATCTGTTCCGATCCTTTGAAATTCGCCGGAAACCTTTGATATCTTTGATCGACGCCTGATCGAGTCGAGGAAACGATCTTCCGATATCCTGACGACGAAACGAACCGATTCCGAAATCGGAGAAACCTTTGATGATCCTGACGACCTGATCTTTAATTTTTGATCTTTGATGATCCTTATTTTCCGATTCTTTCGAGTTTCGAAACGACGATCCTCGACGACGCCCGATCCTTTGTTTCCGGAAACGATATTGACGATCCTGACGACTTCGACGTGACCCCGATCTTTGAGCCGGAGAAAACTTGATACCGACGATGTTCCGGATCCTCGTTTTCTGAAACCTTTTATGATCCTTTAATTGCGCCCGATCCTTATCGACTGACGATCCGGATGATCCTGACGACGAATTCTTCCGATCCTTTCCGAGTTTTGATCCAGATATCCCGGATTGATGACTTCCCGACCTCGAGCTTCGAGGAAACCGATTCCCTACCACGTTCGGATCCGATCTTTGTTCCTTTGAAAACCTGATCCAGCGCCCGGTTCCTTTCTTCCGATCCTTTTGAACCGGAGGAACCTGATTTTGATTTGATCTTCGATCCTTCCCGAGAATCGATTTCCTTTATTTCACGGAACCTGATGATCCGGAACTTTTGATATCGACTTTGTCGCCCGATCCTTCCCTTTGTTCCAGATCCTTGACGACTTCTTCCTCGATCCCTTCGAAATTCCGCGAGGAAACCGATCCATCCCGACGACGACTGTTCCGATCTTTCGAAATTTGAGGAAACCCTGAGATTTTATTTTCTTCCCGGATCCCTTTGAAATTTTGATCCTGATGATCCTGGTTTGTTCTTCCCGACTTCCTTCCGGAAACGATATCCTTTAATGACGAAATTTTCGACTTTCTTTGTTTCTCGGAAACCTGATCCGATATTTGACGATCCCTTGTTCGACGACCCGAACCTGAACGATACCCGACGATCGTTCTTCGATCCCTTTGTTCTTTGATCCTTGAGGATCCTGGACCATGACGCCCGGATCCTTTTCCGTACCGGAAAACCTGATCCTGACGACGTTCCGATCCTTTCCGAAATTTTGAACGATATCTGTGATTATGATTCGACCTTTGCGTTTCGAGGAAACCTTGATATCCTGAATTTTACGTTCTTTCTTTCGAGCCTTTGAAACCGGATGATCTCTCGACGTTCGATCCTCGCGATTTCCCGATCCTTCCCCTTTACTTCGAAACCTTTGATATCCTTTACGCCCGGATCCTTATCGACGAGCCTGAAACCTTGATATCCTGACTTATCGACCTCGATCCTTTGTTCCGGAGAACAGGAACCTCGATCTCGATACCTGAACGGATCCTTTACGACGATTCTTCCGATCCTTTTCTGATTAGCTGGAGGAAACGATTCACGATTTTCATTCCGATCTTTGTTTCCGGAAACTTTGATGATCCTTTATTGACGACGCCGGATCTTTCGAGCCGGAGAAACTGATCTGATGAGCGCCTCCCGGATCCTTTGTGCCGGAGAAACTGACGGATTATTTATTCTTTCCGATCCCTTTGTTTTGAGTTATATTCTGACGACGATTCTTTCCGGATCTCTTTGTTTCGGAACGATCCTGATAATGATTAATTTATCGATCTCTTTCGAGCTTCCTGAGAAACCTTTGATTTATTCGACGACGATCTCGATCCCTTTGTTTTCGAAAACCTTTGATATCTCGATTACGACGCGCCGGATCTCTTTCCTCGAGCCCGGAAACTTTGATATTCCTTTACGACGATTCTTCGATCTATCCTTTGTTTTGAACCGAAAGATGATATCCTTCCGACTTTTTTCCGGAAGAGTTTCCTGAAACTGATATTCTTGACGACGATTCTTCCTTTGTGCCGGAACGATCTCTCGACGATGCCCGATCTCTTCTTCTGTCCTTTGATTCATTCTGATTGGTGATGCCTGATCTCTTTGTTTCCGGAAACTTGAGATTCTGGATGATGACTTTTCCTTTTGTTGAAACGATATTCTGGATTGATTGAATTTTCCGACTTTGTTTCAACGATTCTACTATGTTTATCTCTTTCGAGCGGAGGGGAAACGATATTCTTTATTTATTTATTTTCCGATCTCTTTTGTTGATGATCTCGACGATTAGTTTGTTCGATCTCTTTTCTTTCGAGCTTCTGAGAAACCGTCTCTCGACGACGTTCTTTCCGGATCTCTTTTGTTTCCGGATCTTTGAGATCTCTGACATTATGAGCGCCTGATCTCTTCGATTTTGAAACGATGACTTTACGATTTTTCCGGATCTTTCCTTTGTTTTGCCCATTGACGATCCGATGACGACCGCGATTTTAGCGCCGGGAAACGATACGCCGACGATTTTCGATCCTTTGTTTTGAACTTTATCTCTTATTATGATGCCTGATCTCTTTTCTCGAGCCCGGAAACTTGATATTCTGATGATGATTCTTCCGATCTCTTTCCTTTGTTTGAGAAACGGAGATTTTACTGCGATTTTTCCGACTTTTCGTGAGCTGAAACGATATTCTTGATTATGTTCTTTCCGGATTCTTTTCTTTCTGAGTTTCCGGAAACTTGATATCTCGGATGATGATTCTTCCGGATTCTTTGTTTTGAGAGTTCTGATAATATTTTATTTTGATTCTTTTTCCGATCTCTTTTTCTTTCCGGAAACTGATATTCTGATGATGATTTCTGATCTTTCCTTTGTTTTAATTTTATTTATTTTTCCGGATTCTTTTGAGCGAGACGATGATCTCGACAGATTTCCGGGATTTTTCCTTTGTTTCGGAGAAACGAGGATCTACGATGATTTTTCCGGATCTCTTTTCTTTGCTGGAGAAACGATATTCTGATGACGAAATTATATTTATCTCTTTTTGTTTCCGGAGGAACTTTGAGATCTCGGGACGATGATTTTCTGATTCTTTCTTTTGAGCTTTTTGAAACCTGAGGATCTCGGATTATGCGCCGATTCTTTTCGGAGTTTGTTCTGATTTTGATGATTTCGATCTTTATTTGAAAGGATGATATTTTTTCCGATCTCTTTTTTCAGCTTTTGAAACTGAGATTCTACGATGTTTTTTGAAAGCGAGTCTGATATTCCCGGAATTACGCCTGATTCTTTCCTTTACGTCTCGAGATCTCGGGATTATGATGCCTGATCTTTCGAGTTTGGTTCGATATTCTGACGATGATTCTTTTGATTCTTTCGACGCTTCTTCTGAGCAGATGAGTTCTTCCGATTCTTTTTTCTGAGTTTGAAACCTGATATCCTTATTTGACTTTCTTTCCTTCCTTTGTCCGACGACGACTTTCCCGATCCTTCCTTCCTTCTGTCCTTTGATCCTGACGCCCGATCCTTCCCTTTGTTCGTCCTGATGATCCCGGACGACGTTCCCGATCCTTTGTCCGTTATTTATTGTCCTCTCCTGTCCTGATATCCCACTTCCCTTTGTTTATCCTTGCTTACCGAAACCGATCCCTTGTTCCGAAACCGATATCCTTAATCATGACGCCCTTATCCTTCCATGATCCTTAATTTATCCTTCCGATCCTTTGCCGGAACGATCCACATTTGTTCGTTCCATCCCTTTGTTCCGGAGGAAACCTTTGATATCCCGTCGACGACTTCCGATCCTTTCCTTTGTTCGGATCTGATGATCCGAATATGAGCGCCCGATCCTTCCGAACGAATCCTGACGACGCCTCGATCCTTCCTTTGTTCCCGAAACGATCCGATATTGACGATCCGACGACGACCGACCCCGACTTTGTTTGAGGAAACCGATACCGACGATTCTTCCGATCCTTTGTTTTAGTTCCTTTGAGATCCT